TTTTAAAGTCAATAAACTGAATAACATATATCCTGTGCTGCTTGCTAGCATGACAGATGATTTAGGAGCATTTATTCAAAGAGTCCTTGTTACTAAATATTGGAATATTTATTCCACAGAGTCCTATTAAATCACCACCTGTCTCTCCATTGCCCGGAAGTGAAGTTCCAGTCCCTTATATCGGCGAGGGTGTAGCTTCCGAAGTCAAGAATTCCGAAGTGGAGAAATCCTCTCTCTTCGCTTTCCAACACATACATAAAGCTTTGTCCCAAGGACATGAAGAGAAGGATGTTGAAGAGTCGGCCTCTGAGAAGTTGGTCAGTCAATGTCTTCAGGAGTACATGGCTGCCTGCTGTCGTCTAAGATCTGTTGATCTCCAAGGAGAATTTGGCGCTTTTCACTGGCAATATGGAGATCTTGATGATGCTGGCTGGGTTAAAAAGGGCACCGTTACAGGATACAATGAATTAGAAGTCTATAACGATCCCTCAAAGCATATCGTTTTCGTGAAACTCGTGAGCTATTCAAAAAATATCTTACATGTCATCTTACCACTATGCTAATTCGATTCTTTCGCTTTTTTAGCCACCAATCCAGAAATCTGTTGGAAATTTGATTTATCCCCAAAAGACAATTGACGCAATGTTATCCACCTGGATAGACATTGGTCAAACACAGGTCGCAACAACACCTACCAGAACTGACGCTGAATCCGAACCCGTTTTCCATCCGGCAAAGGCCATAATCAGGCTCTCTGACCTCCTTGAGGAAATGCTTAACTCCGGCGAGGATTGCAGTGGAATGCGACCTAGCCTAACTTTGGCGATCCTTCTCTCAATTGATCAGTGTACTGCAAATCTTCCTCAAGGTCTAGATGGAGATAAAAAGTTCTTCCTTAATCTCGATCCTTCTGAGATTCTCCTTCTATCTTCTCCGGCAAATTGTCTGGTAATTTTCCGTATCGTTGACTGTGAAGGTGATTGGAATATCCAAAGACTGCTTCAAGAATTGTATCCTGGCAATTCAGATTCCCTAGAAGTTGCTATGAAAGCCTGCTTCGAGAGTCTTTCAGAAGCGGCTAGAACGAAGCTTCACCTTCACGTTTTGCTTGAAGCTATAGCTCCACCTGATTGGGTCACCCAAACTATGACTCGTATTGCTCTCGGTAAAGGCGAAATCGCCTCCCCTCACCAAGATGACAACTGAGCTTTTCTCTCCCCCGCTTCTCTTGCTCGTGATACTTAACCTCTTTTCCAACCTATTCTTTCGTTGTGTCTTTCGCATCAGTATCAGTTGATTTATTTCTGAATAAGGTATTCACCTACCTTCTTATTTCCATATCACCTATTATCTTTTCCTCCTGCTTTGCAAATTATCTCGTCTGAAGATATTTCATAAGCCTATTTATTTAAAATAAAAAAACAAGACTGAAAACAATGCAAAAAATGAATGCGAATGGGAATACAGCAGTTGAGTTCATCGTTCTCAAGGCAATATGCCATTTCACTCGTCTTCCATCGCCACCCCCCCCCCTCTTATTCATGTTTCTTTGTTGCTCACTTTCTCACCTTTTGCTTTTACTTTGCTGGAATGTTTGAAAATGAATTCACCTGAGAATATTAATCAGTTGATTTGAAATGCAACGCCCCTCCCTGGTTCTCAAATTCTCCCTGTACTTCTGACATTTTCCTCTAAATCCAAGTTTAAGCATTAAAGGATACTTGACGATCTTGCTAGTCTTCTGGTTTACGAAAAGTGCTTCCGTTTGCTGAAAAAGTGGCAATGAAAGTAGTATGAGTAAAGGAGACTACCTCAAAGTCAAAACTAACGTTTATTTATTTATATCAAATGGCAGGCGTTATGATAGGTATCATTAGCCCTTTAGTTGACTTCAGTCTTCACATAGGGGAAGGAACATCAAAGTGGGAAAAAAAGTCGAGAGGGGGGGGGGGGAACAGGAGAGTGCTTCAAAGACGAAGGTAGAGAAAGGTGAAGTGAGTGCTGTGAAATTATTCGAATATGAAATTCAGTGGGGTCTTGATAGTTTGAAGTCAGAAGTCAACTGCCGGTTAATAGACTTTTTTGCCGTATGAATATACGTTGCCCAGGGTGCACCATGTGGAGGTAAGTCTATAGCACACCCCATACAACAAGTATTGATTGGCTTATAATTTGTTCAGCTCGTTAAAAATACCATTTTTCTTATCTAGTAATCTCAAATCCCCTTAGAAATTTCATTTGCAGATGAGAAATGATTTCATGTTCACCTTTCTGCCCTGCCACTTCATGCCTTTTTGTTATTTTGTTGTTTATTTGATCATTTAATTTTTGTTAATACGATCTTCCTGGTCATCTCGTTTTATTTCTTGAATTCATACCAATTCTTCACATAACCTTTTCAACGCAAACATTGTCATTTAATCGCCTATGTCCCAACAACAATAACGCTACCCAAATCTCATTGAATTAATGTGTACCTGGGACAAATAAATCCCAATGGCAAATAGAACTATGCAAATGATTTGTATTTTAAAACTAATTACTGCAAATGTCTTTCTGCCCTCCACCCTTCAAAGCATATTACTGACGTCCGTGTTCTCCCGTTTGAAAACATATATCTCAAATACGATCTTTTGTTTAAACGAGCTACCATACTAATGGAAAGACAACTTCTTAGACAACAATGGTTGCAATTTAGAATCATTAAATATTGGGTTTTATGTTGGTCATTATTCAAGGTCAGGGAAATAAACATATTTTAGAATTTAAATCTTATTTTTATACCTTTCTTAAGATTATGCATAATAATTTTATTTACCTATTTATTTATTTATTATTATAACTTATTTTCTTTTTTTTCCTACCGATACTGAGGTGAGAGGACTCATTCAAGCTCGTGATAAACGTGATTTGAGCTGTCAAATATATGTCATGAGATAGTGTCTTCGTCGCTTTCAACAACTCAATTATCCCGTGAGAAAGGCCGATTAAATACCAACTTTTGGTTAATAAACATAAAAGATATCTAATTGTGTTAGTTAGCGTTAAAAATAAGTTAATTTTAGCTGAATTATTTGCATTACCCTTCGTCAAATTTAAATTTAGTCTATGGAAATTCTCTCATCCAATAGGCAGGCGAGATTATGCAATTTTGGAAAAACGCTGAACGCTTTTAATGACTAAGCATAGTGGTAGCTTGCCAACTATTACCATAAACACTTCCCACTACATAGGCTTTATGCTCCCACTACTGTAGACGCAGTTTAACTATTTTTTGCTAACCAACCTATCAGTGACTGGCTACATCTCTCTGCAGTTAATTATCCATCTTAGTTGATTGATAAATTTTATAAAAAGGTCTATTTTTTGCAATTATATATCAAAATTCTCTTCATATTTGATTTATTAATAGATTTAAATTTCAACTTAACTGTTGACCATGAGCATATGTGTTTCTGTGGCAATTTTTCCTAAGCATATAATTTAAACACGATTTAAACACATTGTACATAGTATTCAGACTTTATTCCAACATTTTTAAATTTCTTCCGCACGATTTATAACTTTTTAAAACAAATTGATATCCGCGAACTTTGAGCATTGGACCATAAATCTCAATTATAGCTTAGGTGACCTTCGGGAATGTTGCGAATTCTCACTCTTGGCAATAAAATAAAATCACTTCTTTAAATATATAAATGTAAATATATATATATATATATGAATGTATATATTAAACAAAATAAGAATAAATTGCGCCTTTCTAAGTCTAAAAATAGGATTGTTTCATGTATAGCTAAAATAAAAACACTGTGTCGCATTATTTTTGTCCACGGCTAGTTATAAGCTGTCGGGCTGTCTCGCACAACTACGCGGCAACATTAAGGCAGGCAAGACGTAATTACAGAGGAGTTTTGAAGCATCAAACGCTTGAAGAGATAAGCGATTACTCCTTTAACAAAATTTCCTAAAATAGGCGCTTTCTTTTTGAAATCGTAACGAGCCAATTCTCACTCCACCCCCCCCCCCCCGAAAAGGCATATAACAAGCTTCCATATCATTTGACATACAAACACACAAACACACACACCCACTCACAAATTGGCTTTTAAAATTGCATTCTAATGCAAATTTTATGTAAACCTGGCGATGAAACTCTATTGGACCCGGAGGGCGGGGGTGAACTTTGACATTCGAATGAAGTCGATTTAAAATATTTTCTAATTGAGCAGATTCAATATTTGCTTTCAAGGAGTATTCAAATGCGTTTTACGTAAAAAAGAACCGTTATTAGTTGAGGTTGTTTAGAAATTCAGTATAGAGTGGGTTGCACATAGAGGTAAAATGTTAGTGGTTAGAAATGACTTTACTTAAAGACCCGAAGTTAAATGACATGAAGTAATTTTCTGTGCCATTGGGTTGTTTGTTATATTCATACTTGGGTTGGTTCTATTCATTCATTCCTAATCTGACTTGATTATGGTTAGTTTCCCTTCCATACATTCATCAAACCGAATTGCTGCTTGAACAAGTATTACCTTGGATATAAACTAATAAGGTTCTATTAGAAAAAAAAGTATTTACGAGAGCATATTTGACAAACGAGAGGAATACTTAAGCCACTCTTTCGAGAAATGTATGTTTTCCATCCTTTGTAGATGACCCGAATTAAATACTGCACCTGGTCAAATACATCACTGCATGATCATAAAAGGTTTTTGTTAACCTGATTCCTGTCTTCGCAGACGTCCACACTGACTACTGCTCCACTGTTATGCGTGCGTAGAATTTTTCAAATGGCAGGCGTTTTGATAGTTATCGTTAGCCCTTTATGGGAATGAACATCAAAGTGAAAAAAGTCGAGAAGGGGTGGGAATAGAAGAGTGTTTCATAGATGGAAAAGAGATAGACACAAAGGTAGAAAAAGGTGGAATGAGTACTATGGAAGTAGTCGAATATAACATAGAGTGAGGTGATGGTAGTTTGAAGTCAGAAGTCAACTGCCAGACGTAGAGTGGGGTGATGGTAGTTTGAAGTCAGAAGTCAACTGCCGTTTAATAGACTTTTTTGCCGTATGAGTATACGTTGCCCAGCGGTTTATAGACTTTTTGCCGTATGAGGTCTGTTGCCCAAATATGACATACAGTGGGGTCATGGTAGTTTGAAGTCAGAGGTCAACTGCCGGTTTATAGACTTTTTGCCGTGTTAGGGTTAGATCAACTGCCGGTTTATAGACTTTTTTGCCGTATGCGCATACACAATGACATACAGTGGGGTGATGGTAGTTTGAAGTGAGAAGTTGTGACATATAGTGGGGTGAGGGTAGTTTGAAGTCAGAAGTCCACTGCCGGTTTATAGACTTTTTGCCGTATGAGTATACTTTGTAACATACAGTGGGGTCATGGTAGTTTGAAGTCAGAAGTCAAGGCATACAGTGGGGTCATGGTAGTTTGAAGTCAGTGGTCAACTATACAGTGGGGTGATGGTAGTTTGAAGTGAGAAGTCAACTACCAGTCAATAGACTTTTTTCCGCATAAGTATACGTTGCCCAGGGTGCACCACATGGAGGTTGTAAGTACACGTTGCCCAGGGTGCACCACGTGGAGGTATGCCGTTTGAGTATACGTTGCCCATTGGTTTATAGACTTGTTTGCCGTATGAGTATACGTTGCCCGTCAATGGGGTGATGGTAGTTTGAAGTGAGAAGTCAACTGCCACAATGGGGTCATGGTAGTTTGAAGTTAGAAGTCAACTGCCTTTAATAGACTTTTTTGCCGTATGAGTATACGTTGCCCAGCGGTTTATAGACTTTTTGCCGTATGAGGTCACGTTTCCAAGCCATTTAATAGACTTTTTTGCCGTATGAGTATACATTGCCCAGGGCGTACCACGTGGAGGTAAGTCTATCGCACACCCCACATTGCTATTTCGCACAACGTGGAGGTAAGTCTATCGCACACCCCATTCATTAAATATATCACGGAGGTAAGTCTATCGCACACCCCGTATTTTAGACTTTTTTGTCGCATGAGTATACGTTGCCCAGGGTGTACTCATGGTAGTTTGAAGTCAGAAGTCAACTGCCGGTTAATAGATGGTAGTTTGAAGTGAGAAGTCAACTGCCAGTTAATAGTATGGTAGTTTGAAGTCAGAAGTCAACTGCCGGTTAATAGGGATAGTAGTAAGATGAGTACTGTGAAGGGGTCGAATATGACAAATAGTCGGGCCATAGTAGTTTGAATTCGAGAAGTCAACTGGCGATCAATAGACTTTTTTGCCGTATAATCTGTGGATGGGGCCGAATATGACAAATAGTCGTGCCATAGTAGTTTGAAGTCACCGATCATTAGACTTATTTTGCCGTATGAGTATGCGTTGCCCAGGGTGCACCACGTTTTTGCCGTATGAATATACGTTGCCCAGGGTGCACCACGTGTGCCTTATGAGTATACGTTGCCCAGGGTGCACCACGTGGAGCCGTATGAGTATACGTTGCCCAGGGTGCACCACGTGGAGAGGTAAGTCTATCGGCCACACCCCAGTCTGCGTAGAATAAAATATTTTGTTACTTGACAATCTTCTAGTTGTGATTGGAATAACAACAGTTTATCACATTTTGTGAACCCCATTCTCAAAACAAATGTTGATCCTCATAGTGAGCTTTAGATTGGTAGAATTAGGGTAATTTCACGGAATTGCCTACTGTGAATCGTCAACACGAAATGAAATCGAAATATAAATCGAACTCAGGGAGAACTGATTTATTACTTATCAAATTAAGTACACCCCACTTAATACGAAAAAATTAATATAAATTTAGTTTTAATTTTAAGAATAGGCTGTTCGCAAACAATGCTTACCGAATTAATTCAAATATTATTGAAATTAACATTTATTATCTCAGTAATCAGCCTATAAAATATCTGACTTTTAGATGGGCGAATCGATTAAAAACTCGTGATTATTCAACTGATTATTCAATACGCTTTTTTTCATCACAAAAACCATTTTACTTCGTGTAACTACTTCAACTAAGTTAAATAAAGGAATGTGTTGAATTATTTTTTTCGCTTTTCATGATGTATTTCATGCTGAAAAAGGCGTTTTCCACGTTTTTTTGGGGGCTGGATTTAAAAAAACGATATTTTTACTGCGCTGTTTCTTTGCTAAAAATATTTATAGTTTACCTCTCCAGATCCCATGTGTCCAGTAAAAAACGTAAAAAATAATTATTATTTCAGTGGTTATCAATTAAACAGAAACCATAGATCGGTATCTTCACATTTTGATACACGTATGTAAAACGCCAGAAATATATCAGCCTTAACTCGTAGACTTTCCACCAATAAAAACGAAAAATCATTAATGGTCTTCATTAAAACAAAGCGATGATCCTACTAGTCATTTGCCAATTGGCACAAAAGACTCCTGTGACAATTTTGTGGAAGGTCGGGAGAGCTCATGCTTTGATCAAAATTATTTATTTCAAATGGTAGGCGTTCGATAGTTATCATTAGCTCTTTAGCTGACTTCGGGCTTCACAGAGGGGAGGAGGAACATCAAAGTGAGAAAAAGTCGAGAGGAGGGGAGGAGGAACATCAAAGCAACAGAATGTCGAGTTGTAGGGAACAGAAGAGTGATTTATAGGTGTAAAAGAGACAGACTGACTCAAAGTAAGTAAGATGGGTACTGTGAAAGAGGTCGAATATGGCATACAGTGGGGTGATGGTAGTTTGAAGTTTCGAATATGGCATACAGTGGGGTGATGGTAGTTTGAAGTCCGAAGTCAACTGCCGTTTAATACAGTAAAAGTTGCCCAGGTTGCTCCACGTGGAGGTAAGTCTATCGTACACCCCTGATACACGTATGTAAAACACCACAGATCTATCAGTCTGTTGATCGCCACCACCAATAATAAAAATCACTGATGATCTTCATTAAAACAATTGGCAATTGGCACGAAAGACTCCTGTAACAATCTTGTTTATTTTAATCAAAAGGCAAACAAATAATTTTTTGGCGCGAGCATTTTAATCCTAAACGGAAATAAATATTTGTAAAGAAAGATTTTTTATGTAATTGAAAATGGCAAGTCAGTTGGAGAGAAAGCAAACGAATCTGATAGACGTCTATCAGGACTGCTCGTTCAATTTCCGGAAACAAACTAGAAAGTAAGATAACAATTTTCTGTGAACAGTTTATGCTGAAAAATAATTAACAGCGTAAGAAACGAGACAGTGAGAACAGGGGAATAAACACCAGTGAAGAGAAAAAACAAATTGGTTTATGGTATACCACAATCTATCTTGCAATTTGATTATCGTAAGCGATAATCAATCAAAACCCCACTAATAAATCCCGTATTTATTTATATGCACCTGAGCACAAATGTGAGCAATAAGTATTAGCAATAGCTGAGTCATATTTTGAAGTTGGAATATTGGCAATTTAAAACAATGAGCCATAAATATTATTAAAAAAATTAACTTGAATTGAATTGTAATTAAGTAGATTTTTCAATTGCACAGACGTTTGCTTTCAGAATATGTATCCCGCATTCCTTATACGATCCAATTGAGGCGATCATATTGAATGCTTTCTCAAAAGACATTAGAAATGCGGAAATGTTAATAAATGGATCATAGTTAATCAAGCGACCGCTTTGGGTTAATTCGATTGCTTCGCATAACTTGATTCTTCTAAATAGAAACTAATTGCAAGTGCAGCATAAATCATTAACATTAATTAATTAATTAATTAATTTATTTCAAATGACAGGCGTTTTGATAGCTATCATTAGCCATTTAGCTGACTTCAGGCTTCACAGAGGGAAGGTTCATCAAAGTAGAAGAAAGTCGAGGGGTGGGGTACAGAAGAGCGATTCATAGATGTAAAAGAGGCAGACAGACACAAAGGTAGAGAAAAAGGTAAGGTGAGTACTGTGTAAGGGGTCGAATATGACAACCAGGGGGATCGTGGTAGTTTGAAGTGAGAAGTCAACTGCCGGTTAATAGACTTTTTTGCCGTATGAGTATACGTTGCCCAGGGTGCACCACGTGGAGGTAAGTCTATCGCACACCCCTGATACCACTAAATTAGAAGAGAATTCCAGATTAGGTGCTAGGAGGAGAGGAATGTAACAAATGTTATTGCAGTATTTGTAAATTTGACATTCCGTTGCCATTTAAAGTTAAATACTCGCCGAAGCCATCCAGCATCTTTACTCGTCAACTTACAGATAGTATCTAATATGAAAAAAAGATTTATGAATTATAAAAATTTGTCTAATAGCCTAACCGTGGTAAATACAGGTAAAAATTAGCCCAAAAATGTGTACACTGACTGATTATTCCCACAATTTGTTTAAATTGAACCTGAAGATATATCTGGCAAAATAAGTAAAATTTCTATGCATCAAAGTGAAAAGTGAAATACAATAGCAGCGGCTATAGCTGTAAATATTAGAAAGTTGTCTCCTTATTTCCAGATTTCGAGACGAAAAGCTTCAGGAATTCTGTGATGCATCACCCGAAAAATGCCGAATCAATCTGAAACTACCGTTGCTAAAACGCGATAGTGGAGGCCTGCTTGATGTGAATTTCGAAAAGCAATTAGTTGAAATACTAGATGAGGTTCGCTATCTACTCATGATGAGTGGCGAGGGGGCCTGTACTAATGAATTACCCACGGAATTTGAGAAAAACATTGTCTCTACGATCGAAAAATTAAAGGAAAAATTACCTCAGGAAACTATACAACTATTTGAGAGATCTGATCCTATTCGGCAAGCGAGACTTAAATTGAATCAAATCTCAAGTGCTTATAACACCGTACGTCAACGGTGTTACACGGTTGAGTATCCTCTAATTTCAACAAAAATGAAAAATTTCGAAGATGCGTTATCACCAGCTTTTGACCAAATGAATTGGGAAAATTGTAGGCCAATTCATCTTAGTGATATCAATATCTAATTTCATTTTAATTGCAGATGATATTGAATTCATTGACAAAAACCTGGCAGTTATAAACGATTTGAGAAGTAGGGTTCTGTCTGCGCAGGAGAATCTACGAAGAATCAGGGATCTTGCATCTTCGTGGAGTACTGTCCCATTGTATCAGGGAAAGGAAGGAAAGTTTGATTGCTTAATCCCATTGAAGGATCAAAGATTGATTAAGGAAACTCGATATCGGGAAATCCTCAACATATCTGATCAGATACTTCACATTGTAGCAGTAAGAATGTGATTTTACACATTAAAATATTTGTGAAGTCTATTGTATGTGGCCATTTGTTATAGGAAAACTTATATCTATATAACGCGGATCCAGATTCTAGGGAATGGTTGGCCTATCAGGAAGTGATGGAAGATGCAATATTAGAGGGCCTCACTGAAGCAGTTCGTTGCAGTCTTGCCTATCTTGCTGACCACACGGATAAAACAACGAATGATTTGCCAATCATGCAAGGATCTCTTTTAATTGAGGTCTCTTAAACAGTCTTTTGCTCGATTTCATGTTTTATCTTCAATGCAACAGTCAACTAAGTGGTCATCTTTTAGGGAACTCAACTGCAATTCAAGCCGGCCATGCACGATACTCAAGGCGAGAGTCTAATGGATTTAATGGACAACTTAGTTCAGGATATTACCGATCAATCACGATTAATTCCACTTCTCTCCAGCCACCCAACACTTCCAGATATCAAGGCAGAAAGAGAATCTAAGACAGAGATAATCAACGAAGAAGACAACACTCCTGAGACAGAGAGCAAAACCAGTAGTGCACATATCGATGAAGATGAAAAGGAGATTAAGACAAACAAGGATACGTCTATTTCCACAGAAAAAGATGACAGCAATAAAATTGTATACTCTCAAATATCTAACGATGAAATACTAAAAACCATCAAGGAAAGAAAGGGATTTTCTCAGCTTGTCATGCAGACACCTGAGATAGCTGATCTGATATTGAAAATCACCGACCATGTCAATGCGG